GAAGAAATGCTGAGAGCCTGTAGTGACCTTGAAGATGAGAAATCATCATTACTTGAAAAGACAAGAGAATGCCAAGCAGCAATGGAAGGTTTGAAGCATGAGTGCAAAATTTATCAGCAAGATTGTAAAAAGGCATGCGAGCTTGCTGATTCCAAAGCTCAAGATTACAGAGAAGTGGTAGATAAACTTGATGATTCACAAAAATTTCTGCAGGAAATACGCCAGAAACTCTATCGTGCTGAAATTGCTCTGAAAGAATCCGAAGAGGAGAAAAAACAAGCAAAGAAAGAGAGTACCGATTTAATGAAGCAGAATACAAAACTGAAGGAAGACTTTGATACTAGAATTGAAGAATTAAAGGAAGAGATTAGCGACAAGCAAGAGAGCTTTTCAGATCTTTCTAGACGACTGGAAAGTAGTGAAGCCATGGTTAAAGCTTTGGAAACCCAAAAGTACGAGTTGGAAGGCATGCTAAAGCACTCTAAGGAGCAGTTTTCCTACGTTGAAGAAAGGTTGCAGACCTATGTTACAGATAGGGATGAAAAAGAAGTAATGGCAAGAAATGAGGAGGAAAGCGATAAATTTGTCAGAATCCTCCAAGAGCAAGTGCAGTGTTTAGAAGCCAGCAAATCTGAGCTGAAGTCGGAGTTGGACAACACAAAGAACGAACTGAGCCGACTTCATGATGCTTATAACTCTATGGAAGCTGAGCGCACATCAACAATGGCCTTGAAAGATTCGGAGATTGAACAAAAGAACAAATTGTTAAGAGAAAAAGAGCAACTCGCGGTAAATATGGCTGAGAAAGCGCAAAAAGAAGTTGAATTCTACGACGACAAAGTTGGAGAGTTGGAAAATAATATCGCTGAACTTTTGTCAGATAAGCAGGAACTCCTTTCAGCTGTAGACAAAAAAACTGCAGAAGTGGATCAGTTGGCTGGGAAAAATGATGAACTGGAGCAAGCTTGTAGAGAACTGAGACGAGTGAAGGAGAGTGTGGAGGGCAGAGTTGATAGTCAGAAGGGTCAACTGGTGGAGATATCAAGTGAGAATGCTCGACTTGAGGAGGAAATGTCTGCCGTTAGAATGGAGCTTGAATCAGCAAAGAAACATTCAGAGGACCATAGGAGAAAACGGGAAGAGGATCAGACTCAGGTGAGGAAAATGGGTCCTTAAGAAAACCATGGCCAGGTTGGTATGTTTTAATAGAATTGATATGTTACAGAATTATACGTTATACAAAGCAATTTTTATACGAATGATAGATGGGCTCCAATGGGTCGGTACCTAAAGGTTATAAGAGACTTTCACGGGCAGATCACAGAAAATTACGATTGAAGCGAGTGCTTTGAGTTAATTCCTATAAGACTAACAATCATTTTGAAACTTCATTTTGAAGCCGAGAAAAGTATGTCTTGCTTTGGCTAAACGATTGGTGTTAGTGATAGCCCCTTATAGTGAAATTTTTGTCTCTTTCAGTTGACCCGTCTACATCTCTTGATGTGAAATTGACTCTTCCTAAACGGTCGCTAAGCTTAGAGATTCAGGTAGTGAAAAATATGTTTTAATTTTATTTTGCTTATGGTTGGTTTTTTAGAAGATCAAAGAGTTGGAAAAATTACAGAACTTGCTCTCTGCAAGATGCACTCAAGTGGAAAAACTTCAAAGAAGTCTCAATGATCAAACTGAAATATTAGCGTCTCTCAAGGAACGAGTCAGATCACTCACTACAGAACTGGACTCCGTCACAACTGAGCACAAACAATGCGAGCGGAAAGACAACAGTGCAAGGAATCTGCAGGAGCAAAAAGTGGATCTCGGGAGTCCTAGCTACCGCAAACTTGAGGAAAGGCTTGAAAAAGAAATGAAAGAAAAGGATGAATTAGCAAATACCGTCAAAGAGATGAGAGGCATTCTTGAACAAGAGAAGAAATGTGTCGAGAGGAAGAAGGAGGAACTGGCTGAAATGAAGACATTACTGCAGCTTACTGACAAGGAGAACGAAGAATCGAGCAAAGACAAGGAAACAAAATTAGTCGAACTAACATTTGCCTATGAAGATCTTAGGAAGAACCTCGATAACATGGAAAAGAATTTCGAGGATAAGTGTAAAGAGCTAAGGCAGGTTAAAGAACAGCTTAAGCAAACAGAAGAGGGGAGTGAGGAGATGAAGGAAGATTATGACAGAGAGTTGGACAGAGTAAAGTTTGAGTTGCGTGATGCCATCAATGATTGCAATCTGCTGAGAGAGGAAAACAAAGAGCTGCAGCAGAAAACTACCGCAAGTTCAGATCATTTTGCATGCGTCCGAGAGAAGAAAAAGCTTCTGCATCAGCTAGAAGAGGCCAAGCTCAGGTCTAATCAAGCAAAACACGCCCAGGAAAAGATCCAAAACGAGCTAATTCAAGCGAACCTTAAAGTTATTTCTTTTGAAGGTAGAGGAAATTGGACCGGTTCTGATGAAACAGAACAATTCAAAACACAAGTCAGCGAGCTTGACAGTGAAGTTCAAAAGTGGGAGACTATAGCAGATGAGAAAAACTCAAGTTGTGGTACTAACATCTGTAAAGATGAAGAGATGAACAATCTCAGAAGTGAAGTATGTAAACTTCAAGCGGAAGTTAAGGAATGGAAAACCGTTGCAGACGAGAAGAAAGAAAACGCAAAAAAATCTCTAGCCACCAGCCTGAAACTTGTAAACAAGCTGGAAATGCTCAGCCGGGACAAGAACGCTGCATCACCTTGTTCAGACACTGCGGGTGCTGGAGAAAGTTCAGATGGATCAAGTTCATTTAAACCTTCCAGAGTGAATTTATTGAAAGCAGATACTCCTCTCACGCCACTTGCTAAATCCTTATCCAACTTGGATATCGAGTCCACGACTGCCGTCACGTCACAGGCAGCTCCCGCAGAAGAAACAATCTCAGATACCAAGAAAAGAGCAAGAACGGGTGTGTGCTGCATTGGTACTGAACAATGTAAATATATTTCAAATAGAGAAGATTTGACGCTGAGTGTCGCGAATATTCCAGAAATTTATTGGTTTTTTATAGGTCCTTGTGTTCGGAGAAGGGTTATTTTTAGTACAATATCGTCGATTTTATTTTGGTTGTAGCTTTTTTCTTCAGCCTCATTAATATTACCTTTGTCACAATTTTTCACGAGAAGCATTTAGCAAAGAGAACCTGTTAGCACCACTGGTTACATAAAACATTATAAAGAAAAAAATATTCTTTAACCCCTCATAAATTCCTCGTTATCTCATCTATATTAACAAATTTTGTCCTGAAATACAGTGTCCTGGTTCAAAAACTGGCTCATTTATTTGGACGACAGAATCTGTTAAGGAAGAGCCGTGAAATGCTTTACCGTATTAACTGCTAAGGAAAACCTTTTTAGAGAAACATTGCTTATCTTTACATTTTTCTTGATATTCTTACACTTTAGCGGTAGATATAAGAATCGCGAAGAGACCACGTGTATCAAGCGGCAGTGAAGCAGACCGCCAGACTGCCACCATAAGGTTAAATACCCGCAGTGCAGCCAAAAAATCTGTTCAGCCTTCATTTAAAAAAGACGGGGTAAGTAAAACTGCTGATACTTGTCGAAACAGTGGTCGCGTTCCAGTATTTGTGATTCAGTAGTAAGGAATGACCGTCTTATCTGGGTTATCGCTTGATTTTCGGCAGACAGGGAACGTTAAGAGTGGGTTCTGATTGTCGAAAAAATTTAATGTTGACATCTGCTTTATATTCTCTTGATTTTTCCAGAAGGAAAATCCTGAGTCCATTCACGTTCTCCCATGGGGACAGTTTGCCCCTCCAGAGATGCCCCTGTCGCCACGGAAGACGAACACTGTAAATATACCTCAGGGTTCGAGGTCAAAGATCCCTAAACCCGGGAGGAGTCAATTGCCAAGACCAAACAATCAAAAGATTCCTGGTAAGAAAAATATCACCAACAGGCTCTATTTGGGAATGGAATTTTATTATATCACTTTTCAGAAATTCATGGTAAATGACTTGGAGGGATATTCATATAAAATAAGGAGACGAGAAAACTATCATAAATAAACGTTTGCACGTTTTTTTGAAACCAACTTCACAATAATTGCTCGTCGAAAACACCAAAAAAAATATTAAGAAGGTTGTTGGAAGCTCGTGGAATTTTAAAGTCGAAAGAGTAGTGACCGTGGAAAGATTCAGCTTCGATATTCAATTATCTATTAGTGTATATACAGAACTTGGCGTCCGTTATTAACGTCTTTTAGTAGTTTGTTTGCTTTTATTTTTCACAGGAAGTTTCCTAGTGAGCCTCACCCCTGTGCTTTAGAGCTCGCTTCTAAGTAAATCAAACATGGCCAACCGCTCATATAAATATCTTTTGCTTTTTAGGTGCCTCAAAGCATCAGGCGAGGGGTCGTAGACGGTAGCCTTTGGGAGAAGCGGCAAGTAAATCTAAGTAATGGAATGATGGAAACTGCCGCATAGACGCATTGCCTCGCTTTCGTCTGATTCCCTATCGCACCTTTTTGTATTGCTCAAAGATGAATTTGTAAAAAGCTTTTTCTTGCTTGCTTTTGTATTATATTTTCACTTTTCAATTTTAATCTTAGTTATAGAATGTTCGAGTATGGAATGTTCCCCGCTAATGTTAATGGCGGTTTATCTTGCAATGGAAATAAACAGCCGCTGTTTAGGTAGTTTTCTTGTTCAGTTTGGAAATTAAGAACCTGTCGAGCAGCATACCCTGCGTGCATTTGTACGATGGAAACTTAGGAAAAACTTTTTCCCTTCTAATTAGAGTAAAGTTAGCAGGTGGAGTAAAGGATGCGTACACACTAATAAAACTGTAGTTATCGTGACAATGATAATAGTAATTATGATAGCATTAACTGACCCCACCCCCGAAAGGGCTTTTCAAGGCAAATGGAAACAAATTGAAACAAATATCGCGAACCGCTATGTGCTAGAGTACCTAACTGGAACTGTAAAAATAGAAAAGATGAATGATTACCGTTTATTTATTCACGATAAGTAACGCAAAGATCTCACCTGGATTTACAATCAGAAGAAGAGAATTCCAACCCGCTATACCTCTCGTGCAAAAAAAAATTATAACAACCTGTAATCAACAAGTGGGAATTTGTTTCATTCCATTTCACCTTACGTTTTTTCTTGCCGTGCAGGGTAAGATTGCATTCTTAAGTATGGCTTAATTCATTCGAACGATCACTGTCTCTACGTGATAAAACCGCTCTGTGATACATTTCGATCAGGCAATTTCCCTCTACACCATGTCGTATTAGCGTCTTAAAATTGGTACTTGGAGTACACTGCAATTCCGGCCTCTTTGAGTTTAATTCAAAACCATCAGCGTGTACAATTTTTATTCCAGTCTTTTTCGCCAACATACCAACGTAGACATCGTCCAGTCTAAAGAAAGGTACCATGGAAAAAGCTTCGACAAACGAAGCAACAACATCGCGTGATAAAATGTATCCAAACCCTGCGCAAAAATCAGGGTAATGTATTCCTGCAAATTCTTCCAAACTTACTTTCCATTTTCCACTTCTGAGAATCCAAGGGTTTTTGTACTGTTTACCGGCGTATAACATTACGTTTGGAATTGTAGGGTTATTCAAGAAGGAAAGAACAGCTGGAGTATTCACGAAGACATCATCATCTGTCTTTAAAAGAAAAGAGAACCTGCAATACCTTATCGCCCATTCGAAGCCCATTTGTATCTTTCTGGTCTGATTCCAGTAATGGTCAAAGTAGTCAGCTCGCACAAGGTCTCCATAAACTTCATCTTCCCTCAATAAAAAGTTTGACAGAGGTTGATTTTGTACTTGTGCGACAAGAAAAACTGTCGTCCATCTTGGTTTGAGAGCCCTTCGGAAAGCCCATGTTAGACGTATATTATTCCTTCTTTGCAAATTAGGTGGAGCAGACGCTACAAGAATAAGAAGTTCATAATGTTGTGCACAAATTCTCTTAGTTATAAGAGATGTTTTATGTCTGAATTGCAACGTTGAAAGATCACTTAGGTAGCGAGGTGCCGTAATTTGTTCCTGTTTTGCGTTTTCCAATTGCTGATCGTTTTTCTGAAGTTCAGCGACGTAAAATGTACCTGACTTTAATGCTGGAGTTGGTGCAGACTCGTGCGACCAACCGGAGAAGAAATGTATCACGAAAAGGATAAATTGTAAACACGTACAAGTTGCCAAAATAAGTAAAAGGATTTTGGTCACTATTTTCTTCATTGATGTGTCAGGGGAAGGATACTAACAGAAAAAAAACAAACAAACAACGATTTGGTAACTTTTCATCATTCGGCATAATTTCATAGCAACTCTTCAGAGGCGCAGAAATGTTTTGATAATTAGGGCTTTTTAATTATCTTCAGACATTTGTTTGCTATGATAATTTTTCATTTCTCCAAAAGAAGTCGCTTGAGAATTTGAACTCAGGAGTTTTTTGATAACTGAGTTGTATGTTAGGAGCTCTAAACAAGTTTATGGTGCATGTGTTGACGTAATTACATGAATCGTATAAAAATATTTTATAAAGGAAAAACAATTGCGATTAATTTTTCGTCGATAAATTTCTATGGCTACTTCGAGTGTCAGGAGTAACTTTTCATTTAGGTAGGAATGCTTGCAAAGAAATTGGTTTAGAATTGAGGACTGTGACGACGGGTAAAAGGCGGCGTAAGTTCCCGCTATATTTAGCCAAAACACAAGCAAGTAAATTTGCATGTATGTAGATAACATTACACTCACTCTTAATCATGGTTAAGAGTAAAGTACTGAATATTAGGTCAGCTCCACGCTTTCCTGTGGTAGGCCTGTGGTGTTTACAACTGAGGAGATTCTTTTTATTCGTGAATTGCGCGCATGCGCAAGAGCGAGTTATAGATATGATGTGGAGAATGGCACTCGCTCGCTCGCTCGCTCGATTGGTCGATTCCTGTAGACTTTTTTTCGATTTTAGACTTTTGAGTGCATTTGATAGTTTTTGGCGAGTAATAAACAAACGAAATGGCGACCTTTGTTGCTAAGAAGAGTGGTGGGGTGAAAAAGAAGCCGATGATAATCTTGTAATTTACAATCCTTGAACTTGAAAACGATCCGGAGATTCACTAAAAATATCACTTACTCCGAAGCGCTCGGAGTTTGCAGGTGTTCAAAAGCTTTTTCTGTTGTGTCGTGAGATTGGGGACAAAATCGATCGTTACATTTCGTATCGTGTGTTTTTTCTG